GGGGTCTTACTTCTCCCTAACCTATGGGTGAGATAGCCCTTCGGATGTATCTCCTTGAGGAGCAGAGTCCCAAGATGCCTACTAGCATGTGTTTTGCAGTAAATGTACGTGCCACTCATTCTGGTCACTTTCATTCCCCCCGTTAGACTTCAGGACTTTGCAAAAAGCTTGTTAGAGAAACCTTCTCCCCAAGCCCCAGAACATCCTTCTCCCTTTTACCTGGCTAACTCCTATTCACCCCTCAGAACCCAATCCAGGTTGGAGACTTTTCCTCTGAATCCCTAGGTCTCCTGACTCCCCAGTCATAAGACTCATCGGGGTTATACCTGCCTGTTTCCTTATCCTTCTCTTATCTCCACAAAGGCAAAACTGAGTCTTTTCTTTTCACTGACACATAGTAGGTGCTCCCTGCACATCTCTTGAATGAATGAGTGACTGACTCATACATGGGGTCCTAGTGTACTTCACCTTTGCCATCAGAGGAGGGGGAGAGCCAGCCTGGAGACGTCGCTGGTCGGACCTACCTCTGGGTGAATCAACTTTCTCCTCCCTGGATATCTAGACTTTTCACACCCCTGCCCGGCCCCGCCCAGTGAGACTTTACCTGCCCACAATCATGAGCTCCTTCTCAGATGCCCGAGGCCGGAGGTGGTTCCAGAGGTCCATGGTGAAGATGGTGCTGGCACTGTTAAAGATGGAGGTGAGGGAGGACATGAGCGCCGCCACCATCACAGCCATCATGAGCCCACGGAGCCCTGGGGGCAGAAGGGAGGTCTATGGGCCTCAGGCTTTTGCTGCCAGCAGCTGCTGCTCTCACTCATGACTCCATTTCCCCAGGCCCATGGCCAGCTGATCCCAACAGGTTCAACCCTGAGGAGGCAGCACTCAGGGGTGGGAGCCAAGAGGAGAGACTCAGAGGGGTGGGCTGGGCAGAGCCCCCTGGATAGCCTGAGCTTCATTTAGGGGCTTAGTCCATCAGCTGAGAGCCCATTCCCTCCCGCATCCTCCCATCTCGTCCACACCCCCACCCAGATCAGAGCCCAGCCAACGTCCTCCTTTCTGGGTGCGTTGGAGGACTCCATTTAGAGGTGAGAGATCATTACCCACAGGCAGGAGTTCCAGCACAAGTTTGGGATATGCGATGTCAGAGCAGCCGGCGGGGTTGCTACAGACCTTCTGGCAGATTTCTGGATCTGCACAAGCCACTTGGTCTAAGGAGGAAACAAGCCCAGAGCTCAGCAGACAGACCCTCAGAGCCCCAGGAACAGCCAAACCCGGCCCAGCACAGCCCAGCACCAGGAGACAGGATTACTGTGGATAAGCGTACAGTTCAGTGAAATAAAAAGGAGCCTAGACTTTACAAATCATGGCCTTCTTACGTAACCATCCTGAACCTCAGATGCCATATCTGTTAAATCGGGACAGTAACGTAACTCCTCTTCATACGATTATAGTGAGGATGGGCTGAGATGACACACTTCGCACGGAGTCTGACACGGAGGAAGCACTGAATACATTTCAGTTACAATGACTGTAACCCAAATAAAGCTGAGACACCTAGCGGCCAGTCTCAGCACAGAGTCCTGTGTCAGGATCCTCCACTCCCTAAAAAAGGACCCAAGAATTCTCATCTTTACTAAGTTCATCGGAATTGCAAAGGACAATGCCGTCACTTGACACATGGCAAATCTTTTTCAAATTCCTCTTTTTTCCCAACCCCTTCTCAACAGCTGTTCCTCATTTTAGACTCCTAAAAATTCAACCAGGCCCTGAATTTCTCTCCTCCACTTTCTGCATTTCCGCATCAATTCTTGTCTCCCCTGAACAGCATTGTGATTTTCTAGTGTAGATCCACCCTGACTTCCTAGCATCTTCATCTGCACCTCTTGCTCAGAAGACAGGAGATAAAAATTATACTAGTGTGTGTAGAGCACAGGGAACTATATTCAATTTCTTGTAATAACATGATGGAAAAGAATCTGAAAAGAAAAAATACACATGTATGTATATGTATAACTGAGTCTGCTGTACACCCGAAACTAACATTGTAAGTCAACTACACTTCAATAAAAAAAAAAGTTGTTTTTAATGATACTAGTGTGTGGCACAGAGTAGATACTCCATACATTTTTGTTGGGGAGAAGGTAGCCGTCTCATTATTGTTACCTTCAGAGAGGGGAAGGGACACAGCAAGGCTGTGTTGGAGGCAGAGCTTAATTTAAACACGGGTCTCCCAACTCCCAGTCCAACCTTTCAGGGAAGGAAACCATCTCAGTGCCAGCGCAACACCACTCGCCTCCGCTGGACCACTTCCTAAATTCTCAAGTCTCTTCTGCCAGCTGGATCTAGGAATAACTCCCATAAGTAACTCCCAAGCCCTCCTTCTGCTCAGACTAAAGGCATCTTTCTTCCTCATTCTGATGGGTGCCACTGCCTTCCAGCCTGCCTTCAAAGGCAAGTGGAAAGCACCCTGAGCCTCAGTTTAGGGGTGACCTTGGCCCCTTCCCTGCTCATGCCCATCTCCTCCTGGGTCCTGATGCAGCATCAGTGTCATGATGATCATTCAGTTGAGGCCTCAAGTTCACAAGTGGCCTCGAATGCAGATGTTTGACAGTATTTCCAGATGAGGTTGTCTGTCTCGTCTTCATATTTTTATCTGCATTAAAACTGTTAGTTGAATCAATGTAAACATTTAAAGTATATCATGACTTTCAAAATCTAGTGTTGTTGATTCTTCATTTTCTTTTTTGAAATAGCCTAACGCCTAAGGAATGGTAGTCACCCCAGGGCCCTTCATCCATTGGGAAGCCCAAGATCTAGCTGGTCTTTGTTAAATCTCTCCACTCACTGTCTTGTCTTCTTAAGGCTGGGACCCTCCCTTCCCTGCACTAACACCTACCAATGGGGGAGGCAGTGGGTGCTGTGGCCACAATGAATAATACTATGGAGCAACAGTAGATGCCTGCATAAATCTAGTTCAGTCTTAGACAAAATTAAGACTGCAGACCAAAATGATATTTGACAAGAAGGATTGAGAAGAAACAATCTTGTTGGGAAAAATCCTTTTGAGAGGTCAAAGTTCGTGGCTTGTTTATGACTCTTAGTGTAGGAGAAGATTATAAAAAAAGTCACATTCCTCTGGCCAGGACATGGTATGGAGCCTCCCCGGTGGGGCAAAGATCTTGTTTATGTTCAGTCTTATGGGTCCTGACTCTTGTTGTCCAAAAGCTCCACTCTTCAAGGTCCACCAAGAAGGAGCCAGACCCTCCCTGAGATAGTTCAATTAACTACCTGGTTTTTGTTTAACCTTCTAGGAATGTAACCTTCAACCATGAAACACGTGACAGATACAGAGTTTATAAAGCAAGTTTGTGGCAGAGAATCGTGTTTGTTCATTCAGGCTAAAGGATATGCTCATCATAGGGAAATCAGTCGGCTCAGCTAGGTTACAAATGAAACTAACAGCTTTGCAATCATTAACACGCCATTCACTAATATCCACTCATCTGCCTTGGTTTAATTAATCAGCCATTTCATACATGGAGTGGTTTCTCTTGTCAGATCCTCTGATGCTTGAAATAAAGGATGGCTCTAGCAGAGTCCAGTCCAAACATAGCACCAAACCTCCTTCTCCCACAAATGCCAACATTCATAGAAGGTTCACTGTGATTCAGATGTCACCTTCTCATATAATATTCACAACTCCAGGGGAAAGATATTGTTATCACATTTATTTTAAAGACAAGTAAACTGAGGCCTAGAGAGGTTAAGTAGTGTCCCCAAATCATACAGTATTAAGTGTCATGGGTAGGACTCAAAACCTTAGTTTATTCTAAAGCTCAGGTAGAGAGGACCGGCTGGTAAACAGATATATTCCTAGACTCCCGTGTTTTACTGTTTTGAGGGTTGTTTTGCTTCTTGCTTGGTTCCCACTGAGGTTCCTTTACACGTGTGTGCCATGTCTCAGATGGACGAAGTGGAATAAGGTGTTGTCCAGGCTCATGAGAGCTCAGGATCAGAGCAAGCTTTTAGGCAGTGCTGGACCCATTTGAAAATTCAGAGAGGAGCTGGGGGAGCTGAGACAGAGAAAAGAGTGGAAATGGGTATAAACAGTGGCTGGCCTGGCACCTGGCCTTTTACACCAGGGCTTCTCAATCTTCTGGTGGGCTTGTTAAAAATAGATTGCTGGGCCCCACCCCCAGAGATTCAGACTCAATAAGTCTTGGTTGGGGCCTGAAAGTTTGCATTTCTAACAAGTTCCAAGGTGACCCTAATGCTGCTGGACTGGGGACCACACTTTGAGTAGCTCTGGTCAAGACCTTCAAATATACCACGTCCACCTCATCATCTCCACCCTACTTCCCTCTCTTAAATTCCTTGCTCACTTATTGCTGGTGCCATATGCTAGAGTGTTTTGATATTTATTTCCACTTACTTTTAGCATGAGTACCAGACTCATCTGTTACATTACAAACTCCCTAGGGGTGTGGAACATGGCACTTTGTTTCACTGAATAATCATCATTGGCTGGCTGACTGCTAAGAGTGATGGTCAGGCTCTTGTCACTGACCTGCCAGATACTTAAGATGTGATTTGCCAAGAGAGACAGCAGCATGATTAAGAATCAAGTTTTAGAGGCAGATACACCTGGATTTAAATTCTGTATTACCCAGTACCAGCCAAGTAATTTCCAGCAAGTCACCCAACCCAGGAGAGATCTTTCACCTCTTTCTTAACCTCCTCATCCAGTCCATCATTAATCTGGTTGGCTTCAGTCTAAAATATATTTTTGAATCATCCACACGGACCAATTGTTGTCTCTTCCCAGAGGCCATTCCTGGAAACCCTGTCAGAAGTAGCCCCCACTCAGCATCCCCTGTGAAGTCTCCCTGTGCATCTTCCTCAGAGCACTTAGCACAACCAATGAATGCCTCACTTAGATATTTGCTTATCTTTGTCTATCTCCTCCACCACTAGAGTGTAATGCAAATACTCCACCACAACCATATGTCTTGTTCATTTACAGAGCCCCAGAATCTTCTAGAATAAGACCTGGCAAATAATTGGCCCACAAAATATTTGTTGCATCCATGAATGAATCCATTAACTTCCCTGAGCTTCAATTTCTTCATCCATAAATGAAAATAACAATGATAGTACCTACCTCATAAGGTCGTTTTGGGAATAAATGAGATAGTAGATGTATAGAATAACAGGAGTGAACACTTCTATAGTGCTCACCATGTGCTAGGAACTGCCTTCAGCCTTAGGAAATAGCATCCTCATTTTACAAGTGAGGAAACAGAAGCAAAGAGAAATTCCGTGATTTACCCAGTCACATAGCTAGTAAGTGGCAGAGCCAAGACTCAGGGAAGGCAGTTCAGATGAGAATCCATTCATATTCATAAACACCACACTCTACTGCAAAACTCGTCACACAGGGACTGGCCCTTAGCACAATGAATGTTGGTCATTTTAAGCCACATTCTTTGCTCACATGTCATCTTGTCCCATAGCTGTATATTTT